ATAATGCAAGTTGTTATTTAAATAGGTCACCACGTCCGAAAGCATTCGCCAGATGGAGTAAGTACAGAAAGTATTCTCAAACATTGTATGCGTGGATTGAATATCCTCGAATGCATCGATATTTAGTTTGAATCGATTGATTTTAGGATTCATACGAAGTGTAAACTTGATATCAATCATTAAAAGATAAAAATAGTTTCTGTATCCCTCAGTAGTTAAAGATATAGTATTGAAAACTTGGCTTTATAAATGTCATATATTAGATAAAAAGAAACCCGTACATAATAATGATTCTTGTTACTCTAATATGCTGCTTTAATGTTCATTTTAGCTTAAGTTCGCTGGGAAATAACTTATTGTTTCTATAAGATTTATCTACGAACGTATTTCATCAACTTAAATCACGTATTATTGTATGTCTATTGCTTCTTCTGATGTGTGTAATTTCTTAACATTATGATAATTTCTCTGACATTCTCTCGGTATTACATATTTAAGGTTTATCTGTGACACATATGTGATGGTAAGGCATCAGAAATCTAGATCGACATACTGTATTGAAACAAGACGCTGCTACTATTAAATATCCCTTGAATACCGATAGCTTATGGAAAGGGCACTTATTTGTTCATAACAAAGAAGTAATACATTGATTCCATGAGATTGTTAAATGTTCTGGGCTATAGATAAAACACAGAGGTAGAAAGGAGAACGTACTTACAATTTATCCGTGTAACATCACTGTAATAAGAAATATTCATCAATATAGAGTTTGGCGTTATATGTAATATTTGATGGTAAATCATATCCGTAATTGACGCAAATATTTCTAAAACCTGCAGAATATCGATACATTTGACCCATGCCCTAATTAAATACTAAAATACTTCCATTCATTTCGTTATCCTCTGATGCTTCATTAGATTGTATATATGATATCTGATATATGCTGGTTCTAGTCTCTATATATAAATGGGAAAGGATACTCCGAGGTTCCACAAATACATGTACGGCTAATACAGATAACACAACCATAACACAAAGTGGGGTAAAAGAGATATAGGAGAGCTATTGATTTCTGTTGTTTCCTAATAAGAAAATGTCTATGAATGGTCGAGTATTATAAGATTGCTTCAAGAAATATCACCTCATTCTACCGTGATCAAGTCAGCTAAATCAGTGTATGTATTATATTCTTTTTTATAATAGATGACATTCAAATATGTGATATACATATATGCTACTTTGTTTACATCTGTTGATAGCCTGACAACAGATGTTTCCATATAGTTATTTGTCACCACAGTTTAGACTCCCTTTTAAATGGCATGCATTATCATCCTTTTTACTCTCGTTTATATTTTAAAACACAATTTGCAACAATGTATGTTAGGTTTAAATGAGAAGGTTTTCTTGTTCTCACGCTTCTTTTATAGAGTTATAGGTTCTTAGTGTTAGTTAGAGTCTCGTTGTTGGTTATGTTTCTCCCGTTGTTTGTTAGAAGATCGTGGTTGCTATTTTTCATTTTTGGTAATTTTTGAGTCTCGCTGTTCGTTAATTTTCTTTTTGGTGTTTGTTGAGTCTCTCTGTTCGTCATTTTCCCCTGGTGTTTGTAAAGTCTGGATGTTCGTTATTTTCCCCTGGTGATTGTAGAGTCTCGATGTTCGTCATTTTCCCCTGGTGTTTGTAGAGTCTCGATGTTCGTTATTTTCCCCTGGTGTTTGTAGAGTCTCGATGTTCGTTATTTTCCCCTGGTGTTTGTAGAGTCTCGTTATTTGTTATTTTACCCCTGGTGTTTGCTAGAGTCTCGTGATTGGTTATTTGCCACCTTGTATTTGTTAGTGTTTCGCTGTTGGATGATTTTTCTTGTGTTTGTTAGAGTATCGTTGTTTTTTTACATCTGGTATTTGGTTGAGCCTCGCTTATGGTTATTTTTCCTGTGTGTTTGTTAGAGTTCGTTGGTGGCTATTTTCTCTTACTGTTTATTAGAGTTTCGCTGTTGGATTTTTTCTCCTGTATTTTGTTAAAGCAATATTGACAAGGCAGATGTCATCGACGAGACAAAGACGCTAACTCTTTCAGAACATCTGGTCCTGTTCTTTTATGTATTCATGAATCTTCCTTAAAACTTTTCCTTTGTTCATGTTTTGCTATGGTTTCATCGAATTAAAATTCTGTAAATAGGTAAGATATCGGCATTTTATTTTTCCTTTGAAAATACAATAAAAGAAACTTTCTCATGAGTCTATAACATGCATTCTATCGTAATTGTGAAATATATAAATAATACTTGAAAGGAACCATTAGATATCCGATATATATCAACTCTTTTTGGCTGAGATGGAAGCACTGCAGGTTCCTTACAGTCGTAGGAAACAGGACTACTTGCTCCCAAGGACGATTCACGTGGTCATGCAAATGACTACATTTCTCATTGATATTTCAACACTTATTATTTATATTTTAGATGGTGACGTGTTGCTGTGATCATCGATGGATGAAGTTCTTGGGTCTTGCCTTAGGTTGTCTCGGGGAGTTTGTCACGGGATCCGTTTTTGTATTCAATGTTTACCTGGGAACTATCAAGAGGATGTTTAACTACACACAACGCGAAGGTTAGACTTTGATATTAAATAACCAAGCGACATCACGGTAAAACGATGTTTTGCTGATCTTTTCAATTATTACATATATATATATCAAGTGTATCCCATACGAACAATGACAGATGCGTTTAGCTGAAATATACATATAGAGCTTAATTGATAATTATAAAAAGGAAACCCTGTAGTGGTGATCAACAGTCCGGATATGTAGATTTTTTAAGGACACCCGTAACAAAATCCGGTATTGAAAAATGGGATTTTACTTACTCTGCCACTACTGCTACTGTTATTACTGCCCGCCAACATGTGTTTGTGTTTACAAAGTGAACTGCCTCGTTTTCAAAACCATAGCGCTATATTTGAGAGGGGTTTTCCAAACCATAGAAGTTGCCAAGCTGAACATTAGAAATAGACTGTGAATGTCGGGGTGGCATAAAAACGTAAATGGAAGTATATATATATATATATATATAAAAAACCGTGTACAATAAATAACAAAATTGTTTTTTACCATGATGTCCCTTTAAGAAACTTCAGCACTGATGCTTCAGATGTGAATGTCATTTATGATAGTAAGGTATTACGAACATATTGCTCAGACAATGGTCTTTATCAGATACACATGTATATTTAGGAACTTAATTGAGCTTCTTTTCCATATGGAATATAATAAACGAGTATAGAGATGTTTCAGTTGGAACGAAAACATTAATATATCTTTTGTATCATTTAAAATGATATCCTTGATTCATTAGCTCTATGGAAACCACTCCTTAACAGTGCTAGATCTCCTTTAAAACCACCGGGATGACAAAATATCAACAGGACAGGATGTTTCCGTAGTAATAATATTGAAAGATTTGTTTCAGTGGAACTTCAATCCTCATTGCTGTATGTGGGTCAGGGAGTTGGCTTCCTCCCCGGAATGTTCTTTGACAGGTTCGGGCCCGCTTGGACTTCCGCCCTAGGCCTCGTTCTTGGTGTTAGTTCGTACCTGTTTCTGTGGACCACCTCCAAGTCTGTTCTTTTCTACAGCGCTCGGAGCTGGCTGATGGGAATATATTTCTTTGTGGCAGGTATGGTCAAAATGACACATTAAGGTGCCCAAATGTGGTTTCTTAAACGCATTGTATATTGAATCCAGGAGACGCGTATTGTAAAGTTCTCTCTAAAGTCATCTATATTTAATAAGGTGTAGATTTCACTTCGTGCGATGCAATAAGTTTTTCTTTCATATTTTAGATTATATTCTTATTTTCTTTTATTCCAGCTATATATAACCTTCACAGTAACTACATGCATGAATTTTGAAAGGCTAGATATTCTTAGAATTCTTTGCTATTCTTTGTTTTATTACGTGACGTAATTGTTACATATGCTCCTAAAAAGATACTTAGAAAATGAAAATTCAAAGCGATTTTTACATTAAGGAGACCCGACCTTACGTAATACACCAGTTATATGTTCACTTTATTGTGGTGATGTAACTACTTATTTCTGTACTTGGCATTTTGCAATGGGGTGTCAAATTTCGAGCTGCGCGAAAGGGAACTCTTTTTTATATGTAGTATGAAAAATATGTCGCAATGTCAACTTTATCGATACATGGTCAGACTCCAGTAGTGACCGAAGTGACGAGAGTGGGACGGGATGGCAATAGTACTCCAACTGGACTGTTAGATTAGGCAAGGAAGGCAACCTACCCTAGGAATACATTTATATGTAAATGCACAAATGTAGGATAACAAGGTTTTCTGTGATTTTTTGTTTTCACTTTTTTTTGTTTTTTGTTTTTACAGTTATGTGCTAAGTGAGAATTTTAAGTGTAAATATTGAAAACTGTCCACTGCATATAAATATAACCCAATTTGTATTTTTTATATTTATTTTTTTCATAAATAAAATACTTTAAGATATCGATTTTCTTTTTTCAGTTTATATTTGCTTTATAATGTTCAAGAACAAAATGGAGAAATATTAGGGTTTTTTTTTTTGTTTTGTATTTTTCTTCAAACATTAAGCAGTTCATTGGAAAGCTTCGATTTTCAGAAAATGTAATTTTAAAATGGCCAGTGTTATTCAGTTAAGTTTGTTAGTCCGCATTGACCACAGGAAAGATATTACAGTGCTGTCAGCGCTTTGAAAGTAAGGGTTTTCCAAAGGTGTAGAATAAAGAATATATTGTATAGAGTACCCGGAAATTTGAGCAGGGATATCCCTTTCAAACTTCGGCTTTTGCATATAACTCAAACTTGAATAATAAATTCACCGTACAAAGAAAACGATAAAAGTTATTGTGTCAAGAACAAGAAATGAAAATGCTGGTACATAAATGTTTAATTAGTTATTTTCAAAACGTCAATATTAACAGGTCTGGGATCTGTATTCACATACATGGTGGCGTTAAATACTAATCTCGTCAACTTCAACCATCAACAAAGAGGCAAGGTCATGGGAACGCTTAACGTCTTCTTCGCTGGAAGTCCATTCGTTTATTCTTTAATATATTATCACGTATTTAATGGAGATGATCCAGAAAACTTTGAAAGTTTTCCACAAATGATGCTCCTTTTGGCTGTATCATTTGCTGTTGTGAACGTCATGTGTATTTTGTTCCTGCGAATGCTACCGGAGGACACCGAGAGCGTAAAAAATGCAGTGTCTTATGAGGATATCAACGGAATAATTCCAAACGACTTGAACATAATGGTGGAAAAGGACGAGCCAATGACTTTGAAGCGACTGGCCGGAAACTGCAACTTCCAAGCATTACTATGGGTATTTATTTTAACGTCTTCCGTCGGAGTGTTTGTGACGAATAACTTAACAGAGATTGCGACAAGTGTAAGACTAGAAAAACACAATCCCACGCTCGTGCTTCTAATTCCTATAACAATCATGTTGGTTAGTATTCTGATAGGAGTGTTCTCGGACAGGTACATTGGAACCTTTCCTAGGTCGAGTGTGCTTCTGATAGGTATTGGCTCTTTCGTGATTTCACAGATGTTGTTCCTCTTGTTGGTTGACGTGTTCTCCATGCTGATCATAGCCACCATCTTAGTTGGCATTGGCAACGCTATTATGTGGTCACTCGGACCAGCCTTGATGACGGACATTTTGTACATAGGTAATCTCGGAAGAAACTGGGGCATAGTAATCCTCGTCAATGCATTGTTCTGCTTTGCTCTCCAGGAGACTTTTGGTGCGTTGTATGAGAACGCGATCACCGCCCCAAAGGAACTCTTCTGTTACGGAGTACATTGTCTTCGCGGGGCGTTCGGTATCGGCCTAACCTTTACCGTTTTGTCTGTTTTGCCAGCATTAGTACTCGTCATTAGAACTAACAGTTCGCCGAAGAAAACAAAACCAGAGATAAACGGAACTGCCGCCATTCTCGAATAAATATAAAAAGGCAGTTGATAATTATAGGTGTGGAGCAACAATGGTTGATATATTACCCAAAACATGGTGTTATATACGTTATGTACCGATGCATGTTTGAGTTTAATTCATAAATAAAAGAAATATATTATAATACACATTTGAAGAAGTTAATACACTTTTATGTAGCATATGAATTATAAATTTGCAGAATACAGTCACCAGAAATGAATATCATACATATATCTGATTTGTTATTCTGGATTATAATCAGCAAAATGAATAAAGATTTGTTCATTTGAATATCAGAGTTACAAGTTCGCGTGTTTGTCGTCTGTTATTACTTCTTACTTTACACACCCACTGTACAACTTGATCCGTAGTCATCAATATCATGTTAACACGAGATGTAGCCAACCAGGTGTAAAGACATTAACATAATGTAAATCACCCAGTCCTAAATAATATCACTTATTTCTTATTCATGAATACTTTCATACACAGAAGAGCCATTGGAGGTTACATCCCTTTGACCATATGATATTCTTACTTACATCATGTAATTTAGCTCTGTCGTTCTTGAAAAACATTCTCGGAATCTTGGACTTCCTTTTGGTATCAAATCACGATTGTCTATTGGTTATTACTATATGTTTTTTTTATTTAATTAACCAATCCTGTCCTATCCTTCACTTCTTTCTGCGGCTCTTCTTAATTTTGATTTTCCTTTTGAAAAACAGCAAGTGAATTCTTTCGAAAACCTGTACTCGACCTTATCACATTTTGCATGACTTTTGTATACCTGGTCACGATTTCATCATATACGGAACTGCTATATCATGATCTAACGGTTTCAATGAAAATTGGACAACTTAAACGTATCGTATGGACGTTGGATTGCTGTTATCTGGATCACGTGATTAACCCAACATACATATATATTTATATGTAAACTATTGAACTAACTTAAGTGAAACATACAAAAATGGAACGGGGGTTTGAGGAAATAACATGTACCAGTCATTGTAACATAGTATTTACAGATTTTCTTTCTTTTTGAATTCAGTCTTACTGTTACTGAGATCATGTAGAAGGCTGGTCAGGTGGGGCAGTGTCAACGCACTCGCTTTTCAACTAATCATCCGGGATTTGATTCCCGGAGCGGTGGTAAAGCTATGAGGTCACCTGCCTAACCAAGGCAGGTGAGGTTCCCCGGCTTTACCGTCTTCCTTCCACAGTATGACCTCTCACAAGCTTTCGTCCGAGCAGTTAAGAGTGATAAATATATAATAGAATACGTTGTTTCGAAATTGTTGTAAAAATTATTAAAGTTTAATTTGTTAGCGGACTGCAGAAAAAAGAATTTAAAAATAATAAAAATAAATAAATAAAAGCGACAGTCGGCCGGAATGGAAATACATCCTCAAAGACGCAGAATGTGTACTGATGTCCTCAGGGTAAATCGTTTGTGGCAACATCGTAAACAGATTCGTTGTTTTTCACACGAGAAGTGTCCCGTCCCTGGAATACATCATACTGACCATCATCTACCATAACATTTCGGACGTGATCATATATTCCAGACGCGTCTGGATTGTCTTTGTTTCTAACAAAGACATCGTATTCGCCATCAAGCTGGCCTGATTTGGTGTGCGAATAAAGGTCATCGTCTGGGATTCCAACAGGAAGTCGAGAAGATCTACTAAGGATGCCATAACCACAGTTATCGGTGTGTACAGCTATTCCATCAGAACCTGGCGAAGAATGATTTGGGTTTGGCCCATCCTCGTTAGTAGAGGCAGAAACACCATTTTCATATTTAACCTGTAGTATCTCAATGTTGGTATCATCATTTGCTCCTCCTCTTGCACAACGTCTTCTTGAAAAAAATATTAATGTTATGGCTGAATGAATTTATCGCATAAGTCAGTAATGTCATGGTCTAACTGAATTGTCACACCATTTATAGCACAACCAAGGCGTTATATGTTATCTGCAATACTTTATGTAAGTTTAGAAAACAGAAAATTCTTAATATTAATATTTTCAAGAATCGTCTACACGGGATAATCTTTTGCTAAAGGTTGATCTCACCTATTGACGTAAAGACTAGATAATACTAGTGTCATATTAATTATAACGTACAACATCACAAGGGAACATTCTAATGAAGAGAAACCTTCAGGAACATAGACCATCGATAAATAAGGAGAGACATACAGGACTCAGAATATATATATCTATATAGATTTTAAACGCTTTATGGCAGATTTATCAGTGATTGATGGCCGATGACAAATGCTCAGAGATGAAAAGTACACCTAGGCATCCAGTATTGGTATAATGTAAGTTATGTCATGTGGTGCAACCATTCAAAAATATTGCTGGTATCTTTTTATCGTCCCTTAAAATACATTGCTAAGGCAAGATGAAGGCGCAACTAGCATCGGATACTGACATCTTTTATAGGAAAAAATGTGAAAAAAAAACCAAAGTTAGGTTTGGAAAATTCGAAGTGTCAGGAACGTTTAACACTGACTGTAATACTTCGTCGCTTGAAATATTTCAGCGTTGTCTACCTTATAACTTGGGTAGTGAATTTATTACATTTTCATTATGGAAATACAGGAATTGATCAATGCGATAAAAAAACTATCCAGCAATAATATAATATTTTCGTACTTTTGACCAATCAGAGAGTGTACATTTCTCTATGTTCGTATATCAAACAAGTTTGTAAACAATTCTTAACAGGCAACAACACAAAACGGTAGACTAGACTACAACGTAAAGCAGCCTATTCAAAACGACGCCGGCTTGTTGTCAAATGTAACGTCAAAATATCAGACGTCAAAGAGCACGATAATATTTCCCTAACTTAATTTAACATCGCTTTATTTCATGTTTGGATCGGCTTTTATTTATTTTTATTTTTTTCCTTTGAAAATGTAAGAAAGGTTTTCCATTAAGTGTTTAGTTTGCACTTGACAGAATATATCTAATTGTTCACGAGTGTTTTGTGAAAAGTGCAGATATTCGTCATGCCCGTGTAATATATATATATATATGATATTAACTGTACACAATGTGAAAATGTATTACGAAACCTGCCATGATACTGCATTTGAATATAGCCCAACCATTTCAGAACAAAATGTATCTCCGTTATAAGTGTTATATTACCTTGTGGCCCACACGATGCAAATTGTTACTATCACCACCATTACACATGCAGCTGTCACAGCAATTATTGTACCTGGTGTAAAAAGAATTAAATATTATAACAAATCTTAAATCTAGTCATATATTTACTTTAAATCAGTAACTGACAGGCTACACACTAAGTAATTAAAACCTTTGTATTTGATCAAGTATATGCCAGGCGATTAGTTTAACTTCTTCTTGTAATTGTTTTAAGTACCGTGGACTAGATAGTGATCCCAGGTGCCAAAGTCAAAGATAAGAATATGAGCTGTAAAAAATAAATACTAACATCAAGCTTATACAAAATAATCATAATCCAGACTCGAATTTAATATAACAAGGGCAAGATGTGAACATTTTACACAGAGACTCATGAAAAAGTACAAGAAGAATAAGACTAGACGTGCCTGAAGTGTAAGCCACTCCTGTCTTACCGAAGACACCCTCCATGCAAAATTGATGAATACTTAATAAAGGCCTCAATGTGTTGTCATTTAACATTGAAACACTAGGAAGTCTGCACAGAAGGTTTATAATCAATTTTCATCATTGTATGCCTTCTAGAAATTGAGAAACTTTCATTTAACGATTTTTAGTTAATTGACATCTGTGACCTTGAAAGTGGGTCAAGGTCATTTATATTATCAAACTTTATTGTCGGTTACATATCCTTCCTGTATATGAAATATCAAGCATCTAGGCCTTCCAGAACTTGAGAAGAAGTTTTTCAAAGATTGGTACCCTAAATAGCTCTTTCCAAGTTTGTGCCCTACCGAAAACCGGAAGTTGAACTTTTAAGGAAGTTTTTCTTATGACAATCAATAGGAAGTGTCTACAGAAGGTTTGTAATCAATTTTCATAATTGTGTGCCTTCTATAAAGTGAGAAACTGTCATTTAACTATTCTTAGTTATTTGACCTCTGTGACCTTGAAAGTGGACCAAGGTCATTTATATTATCAAACTTTGTTGCCAGTTACATATGCTTCATATACGTGAAATATAAAGCCTCTAGGCCTTTTAGAACTTGAGAAAAAGTTTTTCAAAGATTGGTACCCTTAATAGCAGTTTTCAACTTTGACCCCCTACCGCTAACCGGAAGTTAAATTTTGAGGTACGTTTCTCTTATATCATTCGACAGGAAATGTCCACAGAATATTTATATCCAAAGTTGAAGACTTCAGGCAGATTAACAAAGGAGAAATTACCATTTAACGATTTTTACATAATTGACCCCTGTGACCTTGAAAGTGGGTCAAGGTCATTTATATTAACAAACATGATAGATAATTGATCAGACATCTTATACATGAAATATCAAGACTCAAGGCTTTGCAGAACTTGAGAAGAAATTTGTCAAAGTTTGTAACTTAAAATAACACTTTTGAACTTTGACCCCTACCGAAGACCGGAAGTTGACCTTTGATCCCAGTTTTTTTCTTGTAAAAAGAGTTTTCTTATTAATTTAAATAATATGAATGAAATTAAGGTCACTAGCTGGAACAGTTTTTGAGTTACAGCATTTTAGGTAAAATCGGATATGACGTCATGGCGGCCATTTTGTTTTTCCGATGAATTTGAATATGTCACTAAATGGTAGAAGACATCTGGGGAAATCTTTTCAGTAACAAGTTGATAAAATATAGCCCATCAATATTGTTCTAGAACGAGTTCTTCCTATTTGTCGGCATTTTTAAAAGATCAAAGGAAATTTTCAAAATGGTGTACAGCGGAAATGGCTAAGGTTTCAGAAGAACTGAAAACACTAAATTCATCGGAAAGACGTTCTGCATCGATTTGTTAAATTTTGAAAATGTTACCCAACGGCGAGCTTTTTTATTTGACATATTTTCTGATAACATGTCATGACAAAAATTTAGATAAGGAAATTCTCTACAAATAATATAATCGCACAAACTCTGTATAATCAATGGTTCTAGAGATATTCTCGTTTTTAAATTTTTAACTTATGACGTCATGGCGGCCATATTGAATTTTTGACCTACTTAAAAAATAGGCATCGACAAGTTCATATACGTATCTACAAATATTTGAATAGAATGTATATCTAGCTTTTACAATTTAAAAGATTACGAACCCACAAAATTGGAAGAAGAATAATAATAATAATAATAATAATAATAATAATAATAATAATAATAATAATAATAATAATAATAATAATAAGAAACCGAACAAAAACAATAGGTCTTTTCACAAGTTAGTGAAAAGCCCTAACAAGTTTGAACTATTTCTGACAGAAAATAAACAAATTATGCTCAAAAGGGTAATTTTCCTACATAAAATATAGCAAACTGTACCAGCTTAAACTTACAATACTTTTCATATTTGAACTATTTCTAATAGAAAATATTCATATAGAAACTCCTTAAAAAGCATGATAACCTAGCAAAAGAGACATCATATATCTGCTGTGTAATGGTGCTTATAGATAGTCTAAAAATCGAGAAGCCATTTGAAGCTTTAGTATAATTTTACTTTATCAAAACCATTGATGACGTAGAAGCTCCAATCATTTTTTCTCATCCAAGTTGTCGATAGATTCAGGTCAGGATGTAGCATGAGCAAACGGATACAATGTTTATCTGCGCGGATTATCTGTCTAAATAGCTGTTTATATTGATTCCTGGTGTACGTACCCAAAAATCGTCATATCTCTCTTAGAACTTATTCTCTTAAGTAGAACGATAGAACAACACACATCGCGGCGATGCATCGAAAAGATATTGTGACGGGAAAATTCCTCCGAAGTTGTCAGTCCGATTCTTTCAAATGGATATTAAGGTTTATATATCTTACTCTATAGCATTATCCTGTAAAGGCTGGAAACAATACCTTGTGATATAATTTCGTTAAGCTGTAATATTGTTAACTGAATATGAATTCTGGATTGAGAATATCAACTACTGTAACGGTTATCATTTTCCTTAACATTCCGAAATTACCGACAAACTTACTTGAAGTAGAATCGGAATATGTCACCAAGATTATCATCACCGTACTGTCCACTTCACATTTCGATGACTCATGTTAACATGTCATTATAATGAATTTCTCCAATGCCTCCACCGGAACGATGGACCCATATTTGGGCTAGTGTCAAGAGTATATCACAGATTAACTCATGAAAATTATACGACTGAGATTTCGTTGCATAACAATTATTTTAGAATGATTATTCTCTAATGGAAATTCAGTGAATATTTTTTGTTTAATCACAATTTTAACAGTAAACGGGAAAATTGCTTAACACAGAAATCTTACTTGAACATTCGTTTTCTTGACAACTTTTGACAATTGTGTTATTGCCTCTGCATGTCTTTCCGCCATTTTGAGGTTTTGGTCTGTCACATGACCTCGTTCTGCTCTTTTGTCCTTTCCCGCACGTCACAGAGCATTGCCCGAAAGAACTCCAATGACCCCATCCTCCGTCAACTGTAATGGATTATATCTATTATTAAATAGAATTTACTGCAACCACCTTCAACAATCGTGTGTTAGAATTCATACTCGGATAACTGCCGTAAGGGTTAAAATAGCCCTGCCTTCGATTGTTACAACACTTTACACAATCATTGTACAACACTTAAAAAGTATTAGGTTTATGCATTTCGACTTCTTATGTACATTATTAGAAGAAAAACGTGTATCATAATTAAGTCAGACAAATACAACTCCGGAGGGTTAAATTTTATTGACACGTGTGTTTTTGGGATCCACTCCCAGTAATATATTAAACAATGATGACAGATCATCTTAATGTGTCTTATGGTCGGGAAAGGTATAGCAAGCAGAGGATTACAATTCGAGCGGGGCGCTTTAAAACATTATAATGTTTACAGATAATATCGTCACAGGTATACCAAAGTTCGCAAATACAATGTTAATGAATAGAATGTAACAGAAATATGAACAGCAGAAGATCACGGACTTTAATAATGGTTATATCAAAGATATAAAATGAATGTACGGAGCACATTTTACCTTCGCACAAAACACCTGCTGCCTCTGTTTCTAATAGAAATTCAGTGAATTTATTTGTTTAATCACAATTTTAACAGTAAACGGGAAAATTGCTTAACACAGAAATCTTACTTGGACATTCGTTTTCTTGACAACTTTTGACAATTGTGTTATTGCCTCTGCATGTCTTTCCGCCATTTAGAGGTTTTGGTCTGTCACATGACCTCGTTCTGCTCTTTTGTCCTTTCCCGCACGTCACAGAGCATTGCCCGAAAGAACTCCAATGACCCCATCCTCCGTCAACTGTAATGGATTATATCTATTATTAAATAGAATTTACTGCGACCACCTTCAACAATCGTGTGTTAGAATTCATACTCGGATGATTGGGCACTAAGACCAAATCACAAAGCTTGTAGACATTATTAAAAAGTATTAAGGTATCCTCATTATATTCCACAGGTATAATCTTTATTAATTTATTTGATTTTGTTAATCTTATCGTGCTATTGTTTTCACGAGAAGTGGAATTAATGGTTTTTGAACTGTGAATAACTAATGACTAATCTTGGGCACCCTTTCCTATAAGCAGAAGAAGATTGAATATATCCAATATTATTTATCATTTCCATAGTATACATCAGCCAGACCTTCTACAGGAGCTGCCTACCTTATACTTCGATCTCTACCTACAAGGAACCAATATGGTTGTATAATAAGCAAAATGACTTCAATGACCTAATTGTAAAGGTCAGTATCAGTTTCTGCATCAAAACTATTTTTCCAACCTATCGAGCTGATATATGTCATAGTACTTCCGATATTTAAGGGTTTGTACCTAAAGTCACGACTTACGACATTTAACAGATAAACTCATAGTTGTACGCCGAAGAAAGATTCAATTTTGATTTTGCGATATGATATTGGAAATGCTTTATTTTTGTTAGTATACCTGATTGTTGAGTCGTAAACCTTGCTTCGATAGATAGTACAAAAAAAGAATACCCCCTTTAATACAAAAATTAAAAACAGTAAAGCCAGAAATCATTTGAACTGCATAATACAGCCTTTTTATCCTTCTAGGAATCGTCAGCGCCTAAATATTGCAACCCAGGAGGCGACTGAGAAATATTAATAATGATCAGAATAAATCTTTAAATCTAGATTGGTAGGAGCACAAGCCCCATAATTCAATCAATTTCGTAATTTGTATATATCTGATGAGTACAATGTAAACCGTGGCATTGTTTAAAAAATCGAAACGTGGCATGCAGGTTGCAGCAAACCATGGGGGTTTAAAAATCATCAGCAATGCTTTTCACCTGCTAACTCGAAGAATATACAAAAGACACACAAGGAAATAGTATGTTTTCATACAAATTTTGAAATAAGTAAAGTTGAGCCAAATAATAACATAGATTTGGTAAAATTTACCATACAAAATATGGAGCGTGTGATAAGTTACAATGTATATTGCGAAAATCATAAACGAAGTATATTACCTATTATAGTTGCGCCCGAGGACCAGTTCTCGCAAGGGTAAAAATAGGCCTGCCTTCGATTGTTACCACACTTTACACTGATCACGGGCTTTAATGATGGTTGTATCAAAGATATAAAATGTATGTACGGAACACATTTTACCTGCGCACAAAACACCTGCTGCCTTTGTGCAAAAATTACATGCCCGACTAGTTTCGAAATGGCAATATGAGAGACTTGTTTCAGTTCCACTGGGACAGTCAAAATAATGTGTTAGAACTCCAGGTCTATCCAAAAGCACATTGGCTTGTATACCACCCCTGAAACACGTGTAAAAGGGTAATTGATTGCAAATTTAAAAGAGCATGAAATGTTTATTTCTTATTCACTGGGAAAATCTCAAAATTATGTTAATGTATTACAAGTAGAAAGAAATCGTCTTTTGTCCTTTGCTTCAATTAAAGCTTAATCAAAACAAATCTTGCATTTTTCCCCACATCTTAATATGAGTTGTACAACGCTATATTAATGTCATTGGAGTTTAACGATATTGCTGTGATTGTATTGCAAAAATGCATAATATGCTCCAACGTTACTAAGACACTGACAAGAAATCGTCGAAGAGCTCAACTTGAATCTCGTAACAATGCTTTGTGAGTATGACTTAAGGTTGTTGTTAAGAATTTTCTGATACTTTAATAGGGGGTTTAAAAGGAATTACGAAATTAAGAAGTACGATTACGTTTACAAGTAAGAAAGCACTAGAAACCATGTTAGGAAAATTAATCTCATCCATCAATCCTGTGCTTTGTCACTCGAGAACTCATTCAACAAATTATGCATACGCAGTGCTAGGTTGACATCTATTTATGAAGTTAAGCCGGACCTATATTTAATCTAAAATTACATTTTCCTTAACGGTTGTGTGAAATTGTTTGTTATACATTTCATCTTAAATTTTTTTTAACAACAGCAGGTTGATAGGATGTAGAAAATATACCTTACATTTGTTTATCATATCATTTAATACAGTATAATCGATTATGTAAGATATTTTATCGTTATATACATATTAGCATATAACTGGCCTTTTAACATAGCCGTTTATATCGATCTAATTGTAGCAACATCAATTTTACTATTCTAATGTGTTCTTGATATGACATCCAGTGAGAGTAATAACTAAATAAAGCATAACGATTTATTATGTAAGTATAAGTGATGAATGTCTCAGCAAATAATGTTATGTTTACAGTCCTTCAATACTGTAACACTTATACTTTATGTTAAAGATCGTATCCTTCATATTTATATTGAAAATTCTGTGATTCAAATTTCTTACATGCCTGTTTTTTAAACCCCATTCAATCAACATAAAACACAGATTCATGACAATTTTCCGGAGCAGTCAATCATAAATTCATGAAGACGGACGACATCATATAACCTAAAGGAAGTACAGTCTTAGCTTTCTTGTTTCATTTGGGTACAATATGATATGAGATACCCAAATTTTGATACGCCGTATGTGACACATTTCGAAAACTTATTTCTCATCAGCGACGCTCAAAAGCGAAAAATGTGTAAAGCCAAATACCATGTAAATGAGATTGAAGCATGTAAGACGAAACGACCTAATATGATGTCAAAAGCAAGTGTAGGATAGCAATTTTTGTATGATAAAGATCAAGCATATAGTGATTGGATTTAATACATACAATGACAGTAATGCAAGGTTCCTCGGATACCCAGGTCCCCCAAAATATGATGGCCCGCCGTCAAAGAGAGGGCATGGTGAAAATTGTAAAAGCATCAATGTCCGATATGAAAACAAGATGTGCCATCCATATTCAAGGATTAAAGTGCGGACAACTGCAGTTATTTGTGAACATGAAAGATGCCAACAAAACATTGGACAAAATAAAAGAAGCACGATCCCGAAGACTTTGCCAACCAGTCGGTTCTATACATAGAATGCAGCAGGTGTGCGACCTCATTCCCGAAACATATACAGACTCTGATGAATATCATCGTGAGTGTTATCAGAGGTTCACCATGAATCTTAATCGCCTTGAGGTTCCTACAGACGCGCCAGAAGCAACATGTACATCTAGAACAAGTCGGCGATCTTCAAAGGCCAGTGATACCACTATCGTCAAGCCCAATTGTATATTCTGTAACGCCGAAGGGCGAAATAAAATCAAGGTGAAGGGTAACTGGACAAGTGAAGGAACCTCTAAGTTTGAGTTTGATGGTTGGAGAAGAGTTCTAGAAGTATCAGAGCAGATATCCGATGAATAACTCTTGACTAGAATTAGAGGACATGATTTGTTTGCATGCGAGGCGCAATCTCACAAGATGTGATATGTGACAAAAAGATTGTCACAAAATGTGAGCTTGTTCAGGTCTATATTTCGAGCCTGCAAGATACGGAGTTCGCCAATCCTAACTACCGCAGTGAGAAACTGAAGGTCAAGCTGGGGAGGGATGTCGACTCTTGTGGAAAAAAACAAAGTAATCAAGTATAAGGCAATATTGCCTTCCAACTATTTGTGACATCCCAAAGCCAGGGCTTGCAGTTGGACATGAAGGAGCTGATGATGTACCCGTTGATCCCTGTTCCATGGTAATGCCTACTTATACTACCTCAAGGAGATACCAACCAATTTCAGCTTGATCTGCAACAAGATTTTTGGCATGATGTCAACGACAACAGATGCGGTGTTCAGCACAGATATGAATACTCCCAATTCCGTCAAATCCATGGAACGTGACAGAAGGGACTGAGAAGCTCAAAATAAAGGAGGCATGCACAAAGAAACCTCCTGATCGGAAGCAGTTCCTGACGAATGAAAACAAGACACAATTCACAAATCTCCTCTGCAAGAAAAGTCATCATCATATATGACGGAGCTGCATACGGGTAAAGCACAGCAAAGATGGAGATGGAAACTCTACGCTCATCCCAAGAGGAAACTGATTCCAAAGTAGTTCTTTACTGCATGTATGGAAAGGACATGGGATACGAGTACATCAGGATCAAAAGTCCAGACAGTGATGTTTTTTTCATCCTGCTGCACTACGATCTCACATTACCAAATGTAGTGATTCTTTTTTATATTGGCACTGGAAATACGCAGCGACTGATCAACATCACCGAAATGGCAGAGTGCTATACACAGCACTCATGTGTCTTCATGCATATACCAGATGTGACACTACCAGCGCATTCAAAGAAATAGGAAAGATAAAGCCACTGACAACTCTCCAGAAAAATCCAAAGGTTGCTGCTGTACTCTACAGGTTGGGGGAAACTTGGGACATAACCGAAGACCTCGTTGAAGAACTGGAGGAATTCACGTGTGCCATATATGGTCGTGCTAGAGTGCACAAGGTTAATGAGCTGCGATACATCCGCATACAGGAGCTGTGTGCCAAGGAAGACCAACTCCACCCTTCAAAGAATGTGAACCTGGGATCACTTCCACCATGCAGTTTGGAGCAGCACGTAAAGCGTGTCAACTATCAGGTGGAATCTGGAAGAGGGCCCACATTGCTGAACCAGATATTCCAGATGTGAAGGTTGACCATGGATGGGAGGTCAAGGATGGAATGCTGGAGCCACTGTGGTACAAAAGAGATGTTCCGCCACAGGAGCTCATCAACATCGCTGGTGAACAACTAACGATGATGTGGATTTAGATGACTCGGAAACTGTACATCAGCTGACAGAGGTGTTAGATTAGTTTAGCGTACAAAGCGCACTGAAAACACAGTCAGTGATCTGGATGGACAATATGTAACCTCGAATGACATGAACTCTGTGTTTGTTAGATATTTAGACACACAGAAACGGTTTATGAACGAAATAGCATGTGGTCATTCAGCTCAATAGTGTGAATAAAACATTTCTGAATCATGACTAAGGTTGTTTGCTTTCTGGAAAAGTTTTGATAAAAAATTACGACAATTATTTTGTGAAAAATTTAAATTTTGACCTCAAAATCGACATAACTTCATTTTTGTTAAAATGAATCTACTCATTGTAGTTTGTTTTGTTCACATATATGTTTCTTATTCTATTGAGATCATTTTGATACCTCATTTGTTAAATTTGATTTAAAAAAAATAACGATTTTATGAGTTTTTCCACATTTCGGGTAAATTTCACTATGGCGGCCATCTTAATGACGTCATACCCGGAAGTTCGTTCCAACTTACGCAATGTTAACATTTATTTTCGTGATCAGGGCGTTATGGGGCTTCAGAAAAATACTGGTTCCAAGGTTTGTGGGGGGGGGATGCACGGTGGACCCTTCTACCTCCCGGCCTATATGTTTTAACTTCATATAGCAAACGTTGTTGTTGTTGTTGTGTATATTGTAAATTAACGTTCATCCCGACAGTTTTTTCCTATATGTTGTAAGAATGCACTTAGGTGTATATAAGCTTAAAGTATAGCCGGATATATTATTGTGTATTATGTATTAATTTCCGGATGGTCACAAATTAAATTTGATATTATTTTAGTAATAATCGGATGTTAAGCTATCCCATCAAACATGTTTCGTTAGTGTCTGGTTTTCATTCAAGCTACAACGGAACATTGTGAAGAAAGTTGAGGCTTAAACACGTCTGTTGCTAAATCACAGTGAAACAAGATATTAGAAAACAAAAACGAAGATTTCATCCCTGGGGTTCTGTTTGCATGGTTTTATACCCTATGTAATATATATATCATTCCTTATTGTTTGTTGAAACATCGCACGAATAGTTATTGTATATGCACTGTATATATGAAATAGCAATGGATGTAGACTAATTCATTAAGACGTTGAAGACTACTACACTTTATATGTTAAATAAATCTACGATAAATTATCTAAAACCTATTCGATATCTATATCAGTAAATTATTTTTCATCACTTTTAAACTTAACTTTTGATTGTCTACGCAATACTTTTTGTTTCCTCGTTTTGGTACCAAGGTATTCAGGAAGAACTCAGTTAAAAGACATTGAATTTGTATATGAATTGACATACCGAAACCCCAGATCCTTGCAGGCTACGTTAGCAGATTGATTTGACCAGCAACCTCCGCACAACGGGTTCCATGTTAATTGGTTTCGGTAGAATATCTCTATTCCTCCCTCATATTTGGTTTTATTTCCGTAGAGTCTCACTACACATATAGATCGAAATTAAACATATGAAAATTTCTAGATCTGAGCTCATATACTTGAACGATGAGACGAATCTCGAGAAATAAGACAATGGTATATATGTTAAATACACAAGACGATTACAACTATACAAAAAGTTTGTTTTCAGTCAGGAGAAATAAAGGTTGATACTTATACCAGTCTGACGATATTTGAAATATTGTACCTACTATTTGTGATGCACGTTTACACATGTATAAATAAATAAAATCCTATTCTATCTAAGTAAGAGTTTAGAAGTCTTAATGCAATTACTTACCTTTATATGATGAATATAAGTCCTGGAAAAAGAAAAGAAACAACATGTAATAAACTACTGTTATCAGATGATTTGAATTCAGTGCCATATTTTTAACATTGAAAGGGTCTAACAGGAAGAACAAATCCGTATCATACATGATGTATAAATCAATTTACGTTACATCCTGTTGAACCCTTTCTAAAGGACATACTTGTGCACGTCCGTCTTACATTACCATATATGTTTATGTTTACAGGAAAGCACAAGAAAATATATTTATGAAGTTAAGCCAGACCTATATTTAATCTAAAAATACATTTTTCTTAAAGGTTGTGTGAAATTGTTTGTTATACATTTCATCTTAAATTTTTTTAACAACAGCAGGTTGATAGGATGTAGAAAATATACCTTACATTTGTTTATCATATCATTTAATACAGTATAATCGATTATGTAAGATATTTTATCGTTATATACATATTAGCATATAACCGGCCTTTTAACATAGCCGTTTATATCGATCTAATTGTAGCAACATCAATTATACTATTCTAATGTGTTTTTGATATGACATCCAGTGAGAGTAATAACTAAATAAAGCATAACGATTTATTATGTAAGTATAAGTGATAAATGTCTCAGCAAATAATGTTATGTTTAAAGTCCTTCAATACTGTAACACTTATACTCTATGTTAAAGATCGTATCCTTCATATTTATATTGAAAATTCTGTGATTCAAATTAGGAAAACTTATGATTTACATTCATATAGCAAACATAGTGGTTTATATTGTAAAAACAGTGATTTAAATAGTACATTTAGTGTTTGATATTGTTCAAGTAGTGATTTATGCTGTAAGGGTACTGTTTAATATTTTAAAAGTAGTGATTCATACCGAAAAAGCAATGATTTATATGACACAAGTAATATTGTAAAAGTAGTGATATACATTGTAAAAGCAGTGACATACATTGTAAAAGTAGTGATATACCTTGTAAAAGTAGTGACATACCTTGTAAAAGCAGTGATATACATTGTAAAAGTAGTGACATACATTGTAAAAGTAGTGATATACACTGTAAAAGTAGTGACATACATTGTAAAAGTAGTGATTCGTATTGAAGAAAGAGAGATTAGGGATTTACTTTATAGAGTAATTTTACAACTAGTGATTTACTGCGTAAAAATAGTGAATTATATTGCAGTTCTTTTGAACTACACTGGAGGACTATTAATTTGCGTAGTAAATGTGGTGATTTCAAGAGCAAGTCTTGTGGATTACTAGCAACAAGGAAGTAGGGATTTATTTCTTTAAAGCGGTGTGTTAGTCTGTTTTTTTAATCTAATATTGCTGTTTCCGGTGTGTTGTGTATGTACACTTAACACTGCGTCAACAAGGAAAAATCGGTCTCATGTCAAAATGTTAGTGTGAACTCTAATAGATACCGTATATGCACAAGTAAATGTCCCTGACAAAATGTACATGTAATTTGTAGAAAGAAACGTACAAGAATAATACAAGAAATTCATATGTTCTATTATGAATTTTTCTTTATCCAGTTTGTATCAATAATGCCCAGTAACTCCCAGGTTTATGCCTTGATTTCCATGATTTATATATTCCTACACCGTTGGCAGTTCACGGGCTGATAAATACACAGCTGAAACCACGGTGTTATACTGATATGACGCCATACAGCTGTAAAACTATATGAAACAAAATAAATAAAAAATAGAAGATATTTGACACAGTTGACTAAACTTTTCTGTATGGGTAAGCTTGAATTGTTCTGGTTGATTAAACTTGATTGCTTAGTTATCACACAAAATCAGACAACTAATGGTCACCGTACATTTTCTGTGAGGTCATTGGTATTGGATACCAACTGTCGTTGGTTTCTCTACTCTTTCTCATTGATATCAGTGATATGCACATGACAATAATTTTCACTTACACTTAAATCTAGCAAAACTCTTTGGTTTTTTTTACAATGGCTGACAAAGATCACTAGTAGAAGCTTTAGATTATACAAAATAAGGCCGATTTATATCCGCACTTGTTTTCAATAGCAGAATTACCAACACGAAATTTGAACAACTCAACAAGGTATATCTTAAACTTAGTATTTTGCAATTAAATGAGGAGGATGAATTTAAATTGTTTTATGGTCACTAATTATGTTGTCAACATTGAAAATCCTACCATCACAACACTTAAAACTAAGTGTAATAAAGATTGGATCACGAAGTGTAGCTGTATTAGCAGTGACATAACAAAACATAAAAAGGCTATGATTGAATTAGTTGCTATGGTATCTAAAAAAAAACCTGTTACGACGCTTCAAATCAATTTTGAAATAACACAGGAAAACAATATCGGAACAAGAATAACAGATAACAGATCATTCCAAATGTTGAAGACATGTATAACTTGGGTTTTGGGGTCTGTAAAAATAATCCTACCATGATTTGTCCGGTATGAAACATCACTTCTGCCTAACTACATTTAAGAGTTTGCGATAAGAATTTCCATCTTACACGCATCAATAAAAAAAAACAGGAATAGTCAAAGACCCGTTATCAATATTGTTATCAAGATGAATATCTGTGAATCACATTAGACGTCATAAGCAAAAGTACAAATCACGTAGACACCAGAATATTGACCCGGCATACTGACCTCTTATGCAAATTGCACGAGTCTACAAACATACAGGGAAAAAACCTTCTAATAATACACATGGTAACAATGTGCTTCCGAACGCGGAAAGTGTAAGTGTACTGAGGAATATGTAATCAACCAGCATATTACAAGCTTTTGTGGTGTACCATGTACACCACCATACCCCATTCTAAACCGAAGGAACGCCTTTCTTCTCTTGTTATAAGGGCATTCTTCTCCAAGAAAGGTGAACAGCGGTTTAGATATATGGTTATGAACTATACTGAAGCGTATTTCGTAAAAATTACGTCCATAAAAAAGTATGCGGAGGACAAATCATGAAAACGATTCGATCGAGTCTCTGGTTGGCAACATCTTTGTCGAGTTTGGTGGTTAAAATCTTCCAACAGACTTTTGGCATACTTATGGGAACCAACTGTGCACCTTTGTTGGCCGACTTGTTTTTTTTTTCATACAAGGCTGAATTTATTGAAGAGCTTATCAAAACATTATCATGATTTTCGTGCAAGAATTAGTCAGCTGACAAACTTGCAGGTTGATGGAAATTATGGAGAAGTTTTATAGTCGCCATAGTGATCTCATTGATAAATATTCTATTTCGCTGTGCGACATGAATCTGGACGTATCTGATGCTCGTTAGTTTGCCTGTAGGTTCCGTCGTTATATTCCTTGTTTTCATTTGAGAACATGACATTACTTAATTGAATTGACCAATGTTTATATTGTGAGTGTCATCAATGAAGCAGAAGACGCTTACTCTACCGGAACACCTGGGGTTACTCTCCTTGTACTTTTTTCATGAGTCTCCGTTTAAATCTTTCCTTCGTTCATATAGTTTGCCTTAGTTTCATGGATGTTGGGTTTGAATTATGATTATGTTGCCATGTTGATATACTCAGAGACATATATATTGTGTTATATACGTCTCTGATATATTCAACAAAAACAGAAACGCACAATGTCCCCCATCCCTACAGCACACTTTAGCTAAATGGAAAATATGGAATATTTGGTCAGGTATTACATCAAGAATGATCTCCCTTCTCGACAATCTACCCTAAAACCAGCCAAGCGTGACGATGTCATTGTCTGACTTGGTGAGCTCCTTATGTCAAAATCACGCGGCGTAATCAAACCAAGTATGATTGGTTACTTGCATTGTGATATATATAATGTCAACAACATGCACAACACATTAAAATAATTGTTGAATCAGACTTACTTAAAATGTAGCATACCAGATAGTTATGCACAAGAACATGTACATTTAAATTTACGGTATGTTCTCCCCCTTGATATATCTACGGACGTCAGACGTTTCGCCCCAAATTTGTTTCGTACCCACTTCGGACGGTTTACCCAAAAATGAAAATTCAGAAATGACGTTTCGTCCCAAATTAATAATGCTAGTATCGATTGTAGAGAAAGCTAATTGCTTGTCCCGAATTGTTCTATAAGAAAGTAACAGGTAAAAAGAATAAATCTGAGACTAACATAATTTTTTTTTGAAATGTACTGGTCTGCCTATTTACTGCCGAGGTCGGTATTGCTTTTGAAGGGTGTTTGTACATGTTGATGGGGAAAAAAACCGACGTTTTCCCTGGAAACTCCTGCATGCTTTTCGCTGACACTTGTAACCTCTTGATTACCGGGTGTAAATTTTATAGTGAGTAACCCTAAATCAATTTCCCTCCATTTGGTAAGTTTTATTGAAATAATTAAAATGCAAAATCAAAATTGTCATCTCAATATGCAAGACAATTCAGTTGTATCATGAAAGTGCCCGACAACTGTAATGTAAGTTGTTTTATGAACCAAACTTACTGTTTCTTAATATTTCACATATTTTGGTATGCCATTATAATTTCATAGGTCTAGATATTTTTTCACACCTACAAAACGAAACTAGCAAGTTCCCAGCATGCATCATATTTAAAGACGTATCATTACCAATGCGCATGCGTAATACAGAAGATGGCGACCAAAACAGCTGTATCTCTAGTTGCATTTTTGTTTATTTATTTTATACGTCATTGCTATCCAGCTGCTGGATTCCTTGACATCGAGGAACTCAAAAGTGTACATTATGGATTAGATATAATCAGTGAACCAATTGTTTGGACGCAAAGGGTAATGTATTCGTCAAATGCTATCTTATTCACAAACTTGGCCGAGTACGGTGTACCTAATGCTACGATATAATCGTCTGGTGATTTTGTACGTATGCGCCGGTCAGGACAATGCGATTTCATCCACAGGACAATATCGCTTTAATAATGATGTAACACAATCCATATCGTGTAGGGTTTGTGTGTTAATTACCGATTATTCATATAGGTATTGCTGATTATATATACTAATTAAGTAGCTCCAATATGTTTAATTGATAGTAAGTCATGTTAGAGAGATAACATTTTAGCGATGTCAATTAACATATGTTTGCATTGTTAGATTGTTCAATCAGAAGGATTTCGTATTTCATTAATCTCAATTATCAACGTCAAATCTTTTTGTATGGCTTTATGGGCATACTATTAAAGAGCCAGACCCACTCTGTTATAGATATTTTTCATATTTTATTGACTGGAAATGTTGTTGTATTCTAATAGATAAAATATAAATAAAGACTTGTATCAAGTTTCAAACTTGAAATTGAAAGGATACAGGAGATATCGGTGCCGGTGTCATATCATATTTGGATCCCCCATCAGAAAAGGATCCCCTTAAGAGAAGTTATATTAACAATGCATATATGCATATATTTAAGGTGATAGTGAAAATATGATGATAGGTGTTATGTTAGCTGGTTAATTGGTATCAGTGACCAATTCCCAGACATAGTTACCTATCATATCTCATTTTATTTATAAAGCTATAAAGTTTAAAATAAAATTCACAAGGGGGATCAAAATACTATAGGGGGGATCCTTCTCTTATGGGGGAAAAGCGATCCCCGGGTCCTTTTCTGATGAGGGAAAAGCGATCCGGATCTTTTTCTGATGGGGGATACAAATATGATATGACACCGTATTAGTCTCATTAATCAACACTAGCATATGAACATTGATGAGGAAAAGTCATGTGATACATTTAGACTCGGTCTGAAATAAAACATAATGTTACATCTGTTGTAATGGTAAACCACTCTCATACAAGAACTGCTGTACATTTTCAGGACACTGCCAGCTCCAGAAATAATATTCAAGTCACATCAAAATATGGACAACAGTATAGATGTAGTTTTCCTGATAGAATGGAAGCAGACAAGAAAAAAGAAGAAGAAGAAAAAGTTGCCATGGAAACCGGAATTCCTGAACTGTTAAAGCCTTTAGAAGGAGGACCATGTTTATTCAAAGTTTGTTCACATAATTTAAATGTCCCCATGATTGATATACATTCTTTAAACCTTCATGTTAGTAGGGAGACATGCATACCAGACTGTATATATGTACCATATTTTACATATTATAAGCTGCACATTTTCCCTTGTGGGTCTGGTGTACGACTTATATGTGGATGAAAAAAAAACAGGAAGCATACCAGTACACCAGTACGAGACAGTACTGAGTTTTTTTTACAAGTACCTGTCCGCACGTGTTTGTGACTGAAACAGATCATCTCTCCTTGCACCTCAGACAGGGATATCCCACATAATACCCCTTCCTAGATTTTTCTATCTCAGCCGATCTGTCTAGTACCCTTAAGTGCATTTTCACAGAATTTTTTATGCTTCAGTGTATTCATCCACATGTAGGTGTAGATGGCACCTACACCCGTGCATTTCAACAAAAACATTGTCATTGTTAGAATTTCAATGATATTCTATTTAATTACCTGGTAATCATATTCCTGATGTTTTAGGTAAAATAAGATCTTCACTGTAAAAGGTATTGTATTCTTTGTAAGTGCGGCCTACAACGTTTACCCGGCACTATCCAAACATTGTTTAAAAGTGCAGAGGCTTTGTGGGTAATTTGAGGCTCCAACGGGATACGCCAAACTCTGAGCAAGATCAGGGTATCTCAGTCTCGTGCTATGATCCTGGAACATCGGCTTGTACCAGTGCAGCTTATAACCTTGAAAGTATGGTATATGTATTACATTTTCATATTGCAGGAAGTATACTAGAAACGCTTGACATTTATTTCAAAATTTGTATATATTTGCTTGTGTATATGTAAACTGAAAGTAGATATACACATATATGTGACATACACAGAGATACCTGATAAACATTTACATGGAAGCTCTCTGCAATTCGATTGAACTGAAAACGGACTAGGGAAACTGATTCTTTCATGCATGATCATTATTAAAACAGTTAGATATATAAATTTTCATTGGTATCAAAAGTTTACAGTGCATTTAGTTGACTCTTAAAAACAAGACAGAAATGACAAACTGTAAGGATGCATTGTTTACTTCTGTGTGTAAATAAGTGTTTGTTTTCTTTTTCAGAATAAAGATTGGTGGAGTTATGAATTTTGCTACGGGAAATATATTAGACAATTTCATATTGAAGGTACATTTTGAAAGCATGCAGATATATATACCTGATAACAGAATGCACCTGATTAAGGTGTTAAACTTACATACTGTACCTGTAGTAACGTCTTTCAGGTTTTTGGAAAATAGATGCATGTACAACACATTGTCTTCATGATCAAAATATATACATTCAGTGTTCAAAGTAATGTTGCAAAGAATAGAGATCTTGCAAAACTGAACTACAATGCATTTATTTTGGATCAGATATATGATTTTGCATAGTAGCACATCATACTGTATACATACATATATATGTTTAATCCCGAGAAATACATGCAGCTGCATTTTATATCTGTCTGCAATAGATCTATAGGGACAGTTGCTGTCTTAAATGTATCAATGTCTTATCCTATCGAATAATGGACATAGATTTAAATATAGATTAGAAATTAATACTTTCTACATGATGGCATGTTCGTAAGGAGATAATATAGTATTGAGAAAATTATGGTTTAAATCATGACAGAAGCAATATTGATTTCTTAATGTAATTAAGTACAAATTCCATGAAAGTTTCAAGAAATTTTAACGGGTTCTTACTTTTATTATTTGCTGCTATTTGGATTGGTACATGGTATACACTTTCGTTGAATTTCTCCATTTTATTTTCATGCCTGTTTGCAATCACAAAAACAAAGTCTTCCGATATACCAGTCATGTTAAGCTGTACGCTATGGATGTATTGTAGATGAATTATTTAATTAATGTCTTTTAGTGAAAAAGGAGGCAAGACAGATTAGTAATCTGTATTGTATAAGAGTTAACATATATACGAGAATGACCATTATAATCGACTGTGTTTCCAGATGGAAAGATTGTTGGTGATGTTACATTCCTTGGATACTATGAATCCGAATTTGATTGGAACAACAACACAGACCAGGTGTGTTTCTTTCTGCAAGTGTAAACTAAGTGTTAATGCACTTCTGCTACTATAGCTATCTGTCTATATTCCTATGGTAATGTTATGAAATGATCAGTTATTTTTTCAAGATGCAGATTGCACATTGATACTATTGTATTTCAACGTTACTTTGATTTTATTGTCATGTTACATTTGAAAAATAACTTGAAATTAGGATCTGCAAAGCAGATATGTTCAGATTAAATAAATACAGGGTCACTGTCTGGATAGGTTTCCTCTATATACATGAATGATGTGGATCAATCCTGCATATATATATATTGTAACAGTACATCTGTGGTGTTAGTTGTACAATATATTGTAACAGTACATCTGTGGTGTTAGTTGTACAATATATTGTAACAGTACATCTGTGGTGTTAGTTGTACAATATGTTAAATAGTATTTGTTGACTGTTTGTAGTACAGGTTATTGTAAACTTACACCTGTGGTGTCAGAGGTTCATTATACTGGTGGTCTATTTTCAGGACAAGAGAGTGAAGAACTATAATAGATTAAACAGATACCACAGTCAGCAATACATTAATGGCTCACGTTGTGATCTGACTGGTCGACCCCGGAAGACAGAGGTTAGGGTAAGTTTGTCCAAGTCATCTAGGGCAATGAGTTGTACAAGATATTGTAACAGTACATCTGTGTAACAGAGGATCCTTGTTTAAACACGAACATTGGGACCTCTTTCTGTTCTTGCTGGTCGTCCAGGGTTATCTAAACAACCAAAAAATAGGTCCATAAGTAAATATAATGGAGACGAAGTGGTTTTCCGCAAGCAAAGCAGATGTGAGGCCAGTTTTCTTGTTAATTTATACTTTCTGTTTTTTTGTTTTATGACCAGTTATAATATAGATACTGAAGTAGAGGCTACCTTATTATTGTCTGATATATGCTCTACCGAAAATTGTTGTTTAAGCATTTAGTTACCACTTTGTCCATCTATCCATCAGTCCTTTCATGTCTGGAGCATAACTTTGGCCACAGTTAAACAAGGATAATGAAACAGAGTTTATACATTGATCATACGAAGGAGATGTACAGTGTATCAAGTTGGGGCCTGCAACCTCTCAAGTGCAGAGTTATTGGCCTTTGTTGAAATTTCCTGTGCAGAATCTTTGTTTTCATTAAAACTAAGGTTATGAAGCTTTGTGTATACATTCCTCATACTAAGTGTTTTAAATTCACTTTTTGCGTCATCTTGATTATGGAGTTATTGCCCTTTGTTAAATTTGTTAGATAAAGATTTTAGGGAGCATTCATTAGTTTTACTGATATTCTTGTTTACTATAAAAATTTCTTAGCCTTTTATGCAAACTTTACTTAGAATTCTTACATTTAGGAGATTCATGCTTGGAAACAGATTTCTGAAATAACAAGTCTGTTAGTTGAATGGCATTACTGGTACTCATTCCATGTAGCTGTGAATGATGTGAATACTTTATAATTGTACCGATCGACAGATAGGTTTTTAGAATGAATTTTGCGGTTACTTTAATCACTCTGTAGAACTGTGAGGTGAGATAATTGCTTTACACTATATCTTCCTGTGAAGAAGGAATCATTATTAGATCAAGTTTTCATTATATTGCTTCAGTGCAATTTTTATGAATTGTATTTTCAGCACTAGTCACTTTTTCAATGTTTTTTAATGTAAACTTTATTTCATTCGAAACAGAAATATAAACGCAACAAAGCAAGTATATCATCGAAGGAACAGGAATTGGAAACAAGTTGATAGTTTTTAAATGTTCAGTTCTAGTTTATTCCGGGGGCCTTACAGCCCATAGGTTAACATGAATATTATACATACATACATAAACATGTTATAATTGACAAATATGGAGAGTTACTAATACATGTATTGGAAAATTATTTTTAGAGAATTTTAATGTACTCATTTTTCCAACAATGTTAAAATGTATACATCAGATTGTTATATGATTAGAATGAATTTTTCTTTGATGTTCCAGTTTGTATGTGAGGAAGGTGCAGGAGATTCCATCGCCCGGATTGATGAACCGGAGACATGTGGATACATACTTACTGTCCACACAACAAAGATCTGCCATCACCCTTACCTCAAACCTCCCACTAAAAATACACCTGTCCCTATCACATGTCAACCAGTTTTGTCTGAAACACAGTTCATAGAGTACAAACAGCACCAACTTGGTAACTATATCATGGATATCATATTTTTTTTTCTCAGTTTTCATTGGAGGATTGAACTATATATACCTTTGTACCTATAAATAGCTAATTCCTTTTTGTTTCAGAACAACAAAGGCTCAAAGAAGAGAATGAAAGAAAACTAAAAGAAAAACAAGAACAGGAAAAACAAGCAAAACTTAGAAGGCAAAAACTTCAACAGGAACAACAAGCAAAATTAAAAGAACAATCAGGTACATTGACTTTGGCTGGGAAGAGGGTATGCAGATTTTCTTCCATCTGCAATCTTGAAGATTGTACAAAAGACACACAAGATAATAGCAGCTTTTTATAGAAATTAAGAATTAGATTCAGTACAAACAGGGTAGTTGCCAATATGTAATAAACTGGACTCTGAAAAATGGCACTTAGTAAAATGGTTTATTTGTTGGGTGGGGGATATTCAAATGGGTTCTGTCCGGATGCTGCTTTCCACATGATATCCTTTGAAGGTATTCTCTGTGGATAAAACTTGGTTGGTACACTTGTTACCTTAATTCCTTGCCCAAGTTAAATTAAAGGCAAATTTGGTGCATATTTAATGAGGCTGCTGTGACCTGATTGGCTGATATCTTTAATCACTCTCTGATGCTGTTTTCCATAACCTTGCCATAATCGGTTAACAGTGAATTCCCCGCATATTCTATGAGACTGCTGTGACCTGATTGGCTGATTTCGCATATTCTATGAGACTGCTGTGACCTGATTGGCTGATATCTTTCAGCATTCTAACTGAATGCCTTCTACACATTATCTTTTGAAGGAACAAATGAATTATGATGAGACATGCTTGGTAGATTTGTCACCCTAACCCCTTGTTCAAGTTTTATTTTCAGGAAATTCTGTGCATATATTTTTTCAAGTTTTCCGTGTTGCTCACTTTAAATGTATTTATTTTACAAATGAACATGGATGGAGAATCTTGATGACTTTGTCCTTATTTATTTTAGGAATGGTGTGCTGACATTCACATTCTGAACTGGCACATTCTTAAGTACTGACACAAAAAAAAGTTGTATATTCTGACAGATTCATATCAAATGTTATTTTCGTGTTTTATTACTCAGACAAGTTTTTCTCATTTCACAGATAAATCTTCTATACAAAAAATGTTGAAATCAACTGATATCTCTTGGAAAAATAAAAACTCGCAAAGACATATGTCAGCTGTAACAGATCCACTGGATGTACACACAGGTATTGAGGCTGCTGGCCCTTCAGACACACAGGCAGCGCTAGAGAAGGAGATGGACGAGGAACTGGAGGGATTGATGGAATCATCTATTGGTGAAAATAAAAAGCTGGAAAAACTTCTTAAAAGTTCACTCAATGAAGATCTGAAGAAGTACATGCAGGGAGGTAACTGTTTCAACCAACTTCAGAATCTTTAACTATATTTATCTTTCCTTTGTTCTATTTGATGTTTGTAACCATGACTGGTCAGAGGCTGTTGCTGTGGTACAGATAAAAATTCTGTAAAGAAAAAAATCTCGTATAAGCTATTTTCTTACCACTTAATGAATACTTTGTTTCTTATTCTTGATTGTTATCACGTGTATTTAACAGATTTGGATGTCAGAGCTTATAATAAACTAATTTATACTGTCATGTCTTACAGAGGGTGGCACAAGTCTGAAGATGGAACCTCAGCGTGTGAAGGTAGTACACAGCATGGATGAACTTAAAGAAGCAGTGAAAAAAGCTCAGGAAGATGCAGATGCTTATCTGAGCTCTAACACTGAGGAAGGCGGTGCGGGAGATATGGATACTAATGCTGATATGAACTTTGAGGAAGATTCTCTTCAAAGTGAAATGTAAGTTTAATCTTTCTTTTCAAAACTGCATGAACATAGACTGGCAGACTTTGGGGATGAGTCTCCAGATAAAAACAATCGAATATGATAACCTTTCACAACAAAAATCTTGGGAGATGTTCAAAATATGCACAAGTTGATACTCTTCATTACCTTCTCAGGTTAAAGTTAAAGAAACTGAATACTGCAGCAGAGGAATTTGATCAAGATTTTGATGAAACAGAGCTGGACATGATTAAAGAATTTAACAAAGGTAAATATATGTATGAGGAATGACTTAATTTAAGGTTAGGATAATACTGAGATTAAGACTTGATGCTTTAAAACTGGATGCATCCATGCCACCGAAGTGACTTTATTAGATGTTCTGGTGTCAATAGTTAGAGGTTGAGGTAAGGTGGTATCCAGTGTTTCATGTCTAGATATATGGTGATTATCCCGTGTCTATAACACAATGAGGGAATCCAATATTTTGGGGCTCAGATGTCATAAAATCCATTCTTTAGGATCAAGCTACGATGGAAATCAATGTTGTAGTTTCAGGTATGGAGGAATCCTGAGGTAGTTTTTTGGTTGGAATTAAGCTTTCAGGGTAGATGGCAATTCAGATTTGTACAAATGGAGGGGCTGAGGGGCAGGCCCAAAAAGGGACGCATAGCAAATATTTGGGTTCTTTCTTCTTCACTAGGAATGAGAGGATTTTTGTCCAAATTTTGGTCCACAAAATTCTTAGATGAAGAGCACTCAATTTTGTATAGGCAGTGTGTCTGACAATCCTGTTGTTAAATATGAAGACAAAAATTTTACTTCTTCTGTTGGGATGAATGTATTTTAATGCATAGATCTATGCATATGTGGCACAAAGTGCTAGTCTTTATTATTGTCAAACCAAGACAGGTGTATCTTATACACAAAAGCACCCCAAGTTTTCCTGGTAATTCTGTATATCATCAATGTACACATATTTGAAATGCAGTGTAAAAGCATCAAACAGTAAGAGTGATGAATGTTATTTAAATTCCAGATTTAGAAGAAATGGATGCATTAAAGTTATCACAGTATAGAGAAGTTTTTAGGAAAAATAAAGACAGATTTCTTTCAATGAAGAAGAAAATCCAAGAAAGCATGATGCGAGAATTTGATAGTATCATAAATGAGGTAAGATCTTCTGTCGTATTTTACACGAATAAATTTGGAGTCAAATTGAGGCAGGATTTTGATTTTGCACGGTTAAAACTACAACATTATATAAAATGATCTTTCACTTTTATGAATATGGAATACTGACAGTTGAGAATTTGTGTTCACTTGTTGTACACAGTTAAATTTTACTGTCCCTCACCCAACAAATTAAAGTAGGCAGGTGATATTCAAATGAGTTTTGTTTTTCCGTCCGTCTAGATGCTGCTTTCCACATGATATCTTTTGAAGGACAGGCCAGATTTTGATGAAACTTGGCTGGTACACTTCATACCTTATTCCCTTCCCCATGTTTAATTAACAATGAATTCATTGCATATTTAATGAGTCAGCTGTGACCTGATTGGCTGACAGGGGAGTTGGTGTTGCTCTGAAACATCCAGTTAATGAGATTTAGCTAGTGATTTTTGACTATTTGCAGGCAGGAGAAGAGCTAGGGATGACAGATGATGAGCTCAACACAGACATTGATAGATCAGAAACATTTTCACACATGTCAAAAGTTTTAAATAAACTACTGGATAAGTTAGATAAAACAGAAAAAGGTGAGTGATGTACTGAACAGATGTAGCATGTTCTAAATTTCAGTTTATAATTTGACATAACCTCAGAGAACGAAAACATTAAAGAAATGTTTCTTTCTTGGTTTATCACCCCCAGGTTGTTGACTGTACAGGAGTCTCTTAACGCATATCTCTGTATCTGTCAGTACGTTTTTATTATTTATCTTTTGTATTTTGTTGAGATTGTGAAAATCAACATTTCCTTTATATATATATATCGTCATATTTTGTATTTGTCAGTTTGCATACACATACACATTCTTTACTGATACAGTTTTCATTTACACGGCTCCTCATCATTTTCGAGTGATTTGTCAATTTATACACATTGTATGTACAGAGTGTCTTTGTTGTAAGTACACGGTGTCTTTGTTGTTTGTACACAGTGTCTTTGGTGTATATGTACACAGTGTCTTTGGTGTATGTACACAGTGTCTTTGGTGTACATGTACACAGTGTCTTTGTTGTATGTACACAGTGTCTTTGTTGTATGTACACGGTGTCTTTGTTGTATGTACACATTGTCTTTGTTGTATGTACACGGTGTCTTTGTTGTATGTACACGGTGTCTTTGGTGTACATGTACACGGTGTCTTTGGTGTACATATACACAGTGTCTTTGTTGTATGTACACAGTGTCTTTGTTGTACATATACACAGTGTCTTTGTTGTATGTACACAGTGTCTTTGTTGTATGTACACAGTGTCTTTGTTGTATGTACACGGTGTCTTTGGTGTATGTACACAGTGTCTTTGGTGTACATATACACAGTGTCTTTGTTGTATGTACACAGTGTCTTTGTTGTATGTACACAGTGTCTTTGGTGTACATGTACACAGTGTCTTTGTTGTATGTACACGGTGTCTTTGTTGTATGTACACAGTGTCTTTGTTGTATGTACACAGTGTCTTTGGTGTACATGTACACGGTGTCTTTGTTGTATGTACACAGTGTCTTTGTTGTATGTACACAGTGTCTTTGGTGTACATGTACACGGTGTCTTTGTTGTATTTACACAGTGTCTTTGGTGTACATGTACACAGTGTCTTTGGTGTACATGTACACAGTGTCTTTGGTGTATGTACACAGTGTCTTTGGTGTACATATACACAGTGTCTTTGTTGTATGTACACAGTGTCTTTGTTGTATGTACACAGTGTCTTTGGTGTACATGTACACAGTGTCTTTGTTGTATGTACACAGTGTCTTTGTTGTATGTACACGGTGTCTTTGTTGTATGTACACAGTGTCTTTGTTGTATGTACACAGTGTCTTTGGTGTACATATACACAGTGTCTTTGTTGTATGTACACAGTGTCTTTGTTGTATGTACACAGTGTCTTTGTTGTATGTACACAGTGTCTTTGGTGTACATGTACACGGTGTCTATGTTGTATGTACACAGTGTCTTTGGTGTACATGTACACAGTGTCTTTGGTGTGCATGTACACAGTGTCTTTGTTGTATGTACACAGTGTCTTTGTTGTATGTACACAGTGTCTTTGGTGTACATGTACACAGTGTCTTTGTTGTATGTACACGGTGTCTTTGTTGTATGTACACGGTGTCTTTGGTGTACATATACACAGTGTCTTTGGTGTATGTACACAGTGTCTTTGGTGTACATGTACACAGTGTCTTTGGTGTACATGTACACAGTGTCTTTGGTGTACATATACACAGTGTCTTTGTTGTATGTACACAGTGTCTTTGTTGTATGTACACAGTGTCTTTGGTGTATTTGTACACAGTGTCTTTGGTGTACATGTACACAGTGTCTTTGGTGTACATATACACAGTGTCTTTGTTGTATGTACACAGTGTCTTTTTGTATGTACACATGTACACAGTGTCTTTGTGTACATGTACACAGTGTCTTTGATGTACATGTACACAGTGTCTTTGGTACATGTACACAGTGTCTTTGTTGTATGTACACAGTGTCTTTGGTGTATTTGTACACAGTGTCTTTGGTGTACATGTACACAGTGTCTTTGGTGTACATATACACAGTGTCTTTGTTGTATGTACACAGTGTCTTTATTGTATGTACACAGTGTCTTTGGTGTACATGTACACAGTGTCTTTGTTGTATGTACACAGTGTCTTTGTTGTATGTACACAGTGTCTTTGGTGTACAAGTACACAGTGTCTTTGTTGTATGTACACAGTGTCTTTGGTGTACATGTACACAGTGTCTTTGGTGTACATGTACACAGTGTCTTTGTTGTATGTACACAGTGTCTTTGGTGTACATGTACAGTGTCTTTGTTGTATGTACACAGTGTCTTTGTTGTATGTACACAGTGTCTTTGGTGTATGTACACAGTGTCTTTGTTGTATGTACACAGTGTCTTTGTTGTATGTACACAGTGTCTTTGTTGTATGTGCACAGTGTCTTTGTTGTATGTACACGGTGTCTTTGGTGTATGTACACGGTGTCTTTGATGTACATGTACACAGTGTCTTTGATGTACATGTACACAGTGTCTTTGGTGTACATGTACACAGTGTCTTTGGTGTACATGTACACAGTGTCTTTGGTGTATGTACACAGTGTCATTGATGTACATGTACACAGTGTCTTTGTTGTATGTACACAGTGTCTTTGGTGTACATGTACACAGTGTCTTTGTTGTATGTGTACAGTGTCTTTATTTTTCTACTGGGGAAGAGCATTAGCACCCATGGTGGTTTGTGTTTTTTTCTGGAAGCTGAGAAATTGACTGGTCTGTTACGTTATTTTACCTCTGTAACTATTGATGACATGTGATGGTCCTCCCATATGTTGGTCATTGAGGTAGCCCTGAGCTGCTAGAAAAACACTGCCTCAAAATGACCCTGGCACAATAAACCCAACAAGCAAACGTTCAGTTGTCATTGTACAAATCCTTATTTGTCTTACACCTGTGTAGTTATCAAATGCCTTGGCTGTCTTTATGTCTTGTTTTAAAGTTATACTTCATTGTGGCTCTGGTTCCATACTGTCTGCTTGAAAAATTTAACTTTGGTATTGTAGATATAAGAAAAGTTGACAAAGAAATAAGTATGCTTAAAGAAAAATCTCCCCAGTCTGGAGAAGGGGTTGATGAGACTGAGGATCAGAATGATAATGAAGAGGAAAGTTTATCGTCAGAAGATTTAAAAAATGAAATAAAAGGTAATACAGATATTCCCATATATGGTATGCATAATTTTCCAACTACATCAATTTAAAATATTCATCAAAGTAATAGTATGATTATGTACAGATACTTTAGTGTCAGGTATTTGGTGTTATATTGATAATTTACAATTAGATTGCAGGACAGATGTTTCTTAATATGGATAAAGTAATGCAACCAGAAGTTTTGAAAATTCTTAATCCTCATGAGAAAGATGTGTTTTGAAATTGTAAATAATTGTTTATTGTACCGGTAATTGTAGGACCAGTAAAATCGGAAGATGAAAGAGTAAAAGTTAGGGTGACAAAAGTAACCAAGTTAGATTATGGAGGACTACAAGCAAAACAAACTACTGAAACAGAGAAGCTAGAGAAGGAAGTGAAAGAGGGGCTGGAGGAGGCAGGTCTGGATCTGGGAGGTAATGTGAGATACTATTTACAGACAACTCTAAACATCTGACTATAAAAACTTTGTCTGGTTATCAGTCAGGGTATGGACAAAGAAGGTTATGGAAATTATTTACAATGCAATTTATACTGCTGTATGTTTGAGATACAGGAAACCGCATCAGATATACATGTATAGGTGATACAAGCTCTTGAACCGTTTTTTTTTTACATTGATTGTGTGTTCTGGCCTCCATTTCAATGCTTCTTAAGCTATCCATCACATTTGTGGCACATTATCACTTGTTGTGTATTTGTGCTGAAGTTTAAAGTAATTTTCCACAGGTGGGAAGATCCAGGTAAAAATAATAACAGCTGGTTACCAAGGTGATGAGGATAGCGTACACGTGCTGTCAGATGAAGAGTCCAAAAGTTTTAAGAATATGATAGTTTCTATTCTGGTATGTATTGCAAATTCTTTTCAAGTGCTTTTTTTTTCTATGTTAGGGTTCATGAAGATACCACACTTTATGGAAGTAGTTAAGGGCTGTGTGTGGTAGGGGTATATAGTAATCCTCGTCCATTTGTCTGAGTTTGTGCAATACTTGCAGAGATATCTCATAATACTATGAACATATTTAGTTCATAACCTATAACCTGCAAGCCATGTTTTAATTCATTCAAATAGTGGCATGGTTCAGAGTATACAAATATACTTGTGGGTTGTTCTAAAATTATCAGAAGAATGAAATTTTACAAAATTTACTGAATTATGGGGCTAAAGCACCTGCCTATCTAGATTTTGGCCTTTCTTTCTATCACTTTGGATTTTCCTCAATCACCTCCTAGGTTTAAGATGTAGGCCCATAGCATCACTGACAAGTCCTAGAAGGATGAAACAGCTGTACGATGCAGTTTCATTCATTGGTTAGGTCTGTTGTATCTTTTGAAATATGTATTAACAGGTGCTATTCACTAGTGTGTCTTTGTACAATCTTCATATTCACAACATAACATCACAACATCAGTTTCGACATTTCATTTATTTTAGTAGTAATAGGTCACGTTGAATGATTACAGGTCACACTTAACTATGTTAAGAATAATAGCTTGGTGTGTACGTGATATCTCATGATCTTTCGAATGGATTTAGTCCTCATCATAGCATAACATCATCATTTACATCTCAACATATTATCATATTTCCTCTGGAGTATAACATCGTTATGTTTTAGATAATGGTCAAGGTCAATCGTTGAAGGTCACCGATGACCTCATTCAGAATAGATAGCTTGTGTTGAAGTAACATCATGATCTTTTCAATATATTTTGATAAACCATCAACCAGTAGGTTTCACCATTGATTACATTCTAATTGTCAAGCTTTATGACCTATGAAGAAGATTTGATCATTAGAATACATCCACTAGTTGGACCTATAAATAGAATACTGATTTGTCTGGTAGATTTCAGTCAGCTGATGATGGCTCAATTTCATGCCTTTTTCGGAAAAAAATCAAAATCAAATCTTTGTGGTATGTCTGCTAACATCAAATCTTTGTGGTATGTCTACTAACATCAAATCTTTGTGGTATGTCTACTAACATCAAATCTTTGTGGTATGTCTACTAACATCAAATCTTTGTGGTATGTCTACTAACATCAAATCTTTGTGGTATGTCTGCTAACATCAAATCTTTGTGGTATGTCTACTTACATCAAATCTTTGTGGTATGTCTACGTGGTATGTCTACTAAAATCTAATCTTTGTGGTATGTCTGCTAACATCTAATTTTTGTGGTATGTCTACTAACATCAAATCTTTGTGGTATGTCTACTTACATCAAATCTTCGTGGTATGTCTGACAGGAAGGGGACAGTGAAGCCGCACGGGAGGAGCAGCATCACAACTCAATGGAACAGAGCTATAATTTTGTTTGGGGAAAAGATAAGAAAAAAGAAGACACCCTGAAGCCTTAACTGTTAGATAATATTTGTAAGTTATTCCTAAAAACTATTCCTTAACAAACGTGTTGAATCAGTCTTATCAGTTCATGACAGGAATTTTGAGAAATAAGATTGCTTAAATGATAACCATGGTTCTATGTGAGTTGTTCAGTGAAAATCATTTTGGGGTCGTGACATTATCAGATTTCTTTGTTTGGGAAAAAACTAGATCTTGCTATAATCTATAATGTTTTAATAAATTTTATCACGATTTCGTATATGATTTTGCAGATAACTGCCATTTCTTTATTTCCATTTGTAGATTTTTACTTGATTTGATTGCACCTGTCAATGCAAAACTAATTATGGATTATGTCAAAGCAAGGCCTTTTAGGACTCTTTTAAGAGGCCAAAACTTTTGAAAATCTGTTAGCATTAAAACATAGATGTAAATAAATGTTTATTAAAATCAATATAGATGTAAATATGTTTATTAAAATTAATATATATGTAAATATTTGTTGAAAAAAGGTCAATTATGATAGCATCAAAATGTAGTAATTTTGGTAAGTTTCATATTTCCTTGTTTTGGTTATAAAATAAAAATTGTCTATTACCAATCACGATAATATTTCTTGGTTTAAATAGGAGGTTGAATAAAAACAAGGGTTGCTATATTCTGTTTGATTTTAATACAATGTAGTGTTGTTACACAGTTTCCATTGTTGGTGTGACATCACATTTCTGTGTAAGTTGTTTCTCTTGAATATTTGTTGTATATGTAGTGTGAAAAAAAAAAAAATCAACAAGGCAATTATGATTGTTGGTTTGACAGAGAACAGAAAAGTGCTTGTACTTGCTCATTTAAGGATAATGAACACACAAGATTCATTTGCTTATATTCAATTTTTTGGCAAAGACAGGAAAGAAATTTCATTTGAATGTAAAATTCTGAATTCTTAAAAGGATTGATCAATGAGATAACCTCATCTATCGTCGATTACAGAAATTAATGGTATGAACAGCTGGTGATTTTGTACGGATTGAAAATTTGCAACTTAAAATTAAAAGTTACTACATTAATTGGCAATGATTTGTTTCTATTTATTTTGATTTTTCGCAAAATGTAAACAAGAAATTATATTTTACATGTTTAAAATTATTTTTATGAACGAAAATCACTTGTATTTGATCAAACTCTTTTTTTTCTTTTTTACTGTTGTCATTTAATTTAATCTGTATGATGTTATTTTTGAGACAACTCTTTTAGAACACCATAACATTGAACTGTTTTAAATCTCTGACTAGCAAATGAAAGGACATTTAATGTTATGTACTTGAGATATTGTAATGTTAAAAATATGTTTAACAAACTGAAGGAAGAGGTATGAAAAGGATGAGGTTCACATACAAAGCATTCATTTGGCTCTGTTGAAAATGTTTTGAATTATGCATATGATCATGGATTTCTTGTGCAATTTACCTGAGTGATCTCTTGGTGATAAAGGGGGAAAATCCATTGTCTTAATAGAGCTGTAGATCTGTCATTAGTGTTTTATAGACATTGATTCTCAATTTTTGCTTATATGATACACCACCACATTTTCACAGTATGGAGAATATAAAACAAATTTTATAGAGTCACATATTGTACCAATTTTAAATGTATATCTGTATCTTTGTGTAATTGTATGGGTAAGTGATGAACGTCATCGTCCTTTGTGGGAGTGAGGAACACCTATGGTTTTGTATGTCTTTTTATGATTTATAGTAGAAATAGATAATGGGTAGTGTAAACTTTGGTTAATGTATGTATTGTTATACAGTTGATGTTTCAAAAAGGTGGTTTACTATAATGTATGTTCTTATCATATCCATCTTGTGAATTAAGGTGTTTGATGACGACCAGTGCGGCCGTATGTGAGTGCATGTTAGTTGTGGTTACTTGAGTTGAAATAAATTGGTTAAGTTGTTAATGAAGCAAAAGTTTTGTCAGGTCAGAGCGAGGAGGTGCGTGGACATATAAGGAAGCATTTCATGTACAGACAGGTCACACCAGTGTTATATGTATATATATAGGAAATTATAGGTATAGATAATTTATTGATTTTAATCTAGTCATAAGCCATCTTAGACGTGACTTATTTAATTTTTTTACGTTTAAGACACTACACAAATTATAGTTTCAGGCAAGGTTGATATCTTGATTTTTCAAAAAATTCAAAATAACTATTTTAACAGCAAGATATTTGGTATTAAGGTAAAATGATCATTTGATATTAAGGTGAAATCTTATTGTTCATTTGGTATCAAGATAAAACCTAATGTTCATTTGATTTTAATGTAAAATCTGAATGTTTATTTGGTAATGAGGTAAAATCTGAATGTTCATGTGGTATTAAGGTAAAATCTGAATGTTCATTTGGTATTAAGGTAAAATCTGAATGTTCATGTGGTATTAAGGTAAAATCTGAATGTTCATTTGGTATCAAGGTAAAATCTGAATGTTCATGTGGTATTAAGGTAAAATCTTAATGTTCATTTGGTATTTAGGTAAAATCTGAATGTCAATTTGGTATCAAGGTAAAATCTGAATGTTCATTTGGTATTAAGGTAAAATCTGAATGTTCATTTGATATTAAGGTAAAGTCTGAATGTTCATTTGGTATTAAGGTAAAATCTGAATGTTCATTTGGTATTAAGGTAAAATCTGAATGTTCATTTGGTAATGAGGTAAAATCTGAATGTTCATGTGGTATTAAGGTAAAATCTGAATGTTCATTTGGTATTAAGGTAAAATCTGAATGTTCATTTGGTATTAAGGTAAAATCTGATTGTTCATGTGGTATTAAGGTAAAATCTGAATGTTCATTTGGTAATAAGGTAAAATCTGAATGTTCATTTGGTATTAAGGTAAAATCTGAATGTTCATTTGGTGTTAAGGTAAAATCTGAATGTTCATTTGGTGTTAAGGTAAAATCTGAATGTTCATTTGGTGTTAAGGTAAAATCTGAATGTTCATTTGGTGTTAAGGTAAAATCTGAATGTTCATTTGGTGTTAAGGTAAAATCTGAATGTTCATTTGGTGTTAAGGTAAAATCTGAATGTTCATTTGGTGTTAAGGTAAAATCTGAATGTTCATTTGGTATTAAGGTAAAATCTGAATGTTCATGTGATATTAAGATTAAATCTTATCATGACATTAAAGTAACAGGTAGTCATTTTGTTGATAGGTTTTAATGTGTTTACAGATTGCAGCTATCTGCACAAATCAACTTACTCTGTGGCCTCGTGATTGCATTTAATGTGTCCATTGAAATGAAGGACAATGCACACTTAGTTTAAATTTTCTACAGATTTTGTCAGTATGTTTAAATAATAAAATTCAGCCAAACTGGTGAGTTTGGTTAACCTTTACTTACTTGTTTTGTTGATGAATATTACTGGAGTATTACAGTGACATTGTTATGTTGTGAAAGTTTCACAATTGGCTGTTGACATATCGGACATATCCTGGGTTGGAGCCGATTTGCACAATTTATACAGCTACCGTGTCCACAATTCCTAAACACTGAATTTATTGGGTTTTCCAGGCAAACACGGCACAAGTTTTCATCTGCAGTGTCTGACTGGTTGGAAAACTGGAAGTGGCAATGATAATCCTGTAACTTGATATTAGTTCAAAAACAAAGTTATAACTGCATTGTAAATACCATTCATTTGATGCTATTGTATACTGTTACCTATGTTAGAGGCTTTTATAATTGATGTCTTTATTTTCTATCAAATTACTTACTTAAGGACCATGGACCTTAAATAAAGGTCTTGACTTCTGGAAAACTCCTGAACCAATTTCAATTAGATTTTACAAAAATCTTCCATGGCTTAAGGCACACCAAAATTGTAAACCATATGGTGTCCAACCCACAGGGTCCTGAGGGGTGGGGCCAAAAAGGGTCAAATTTACTGAAATTTCAAATCTCTTCTTTTCAAATCCCAGGTATTGTTGAATCAAGCACTCTTCATGGATGGAAAGGCTTTTAGATGCTTAATAAAATTGCAAATTTCACAATCCCAAGGTCTCGCATTTTCCACTGGAGAGGGGGTAAAGTTTACTATAGTTATATAGAAAAAGCTCATTTTTGCACATTATTTTGTATTGGTAATAGTTCAAACCTGGATAGAATTATTATTTTTTTATGATAGTTCAATGAGATGCACAAACTGACCTTGACTGACCTGCAGAGGCTGTTGAGCCGGGCTAAAAATGGGTCAAATTGACTGAAATTTTAAAAACACTTTTAGTACCCAGATGATGTAAAACCAAATACTCTATATGGTTGGAAGTGTCTTGTGATGCTTTATAAAATTGTAAATTTAATGACTCCAAGGTCTTATTTCCCCCAGGGGATGGGGTATAGGAAAATTACATTTAGAGCATAATTTGTTTATTTTCTTTCAGAAATAGTTCAAAATTTGTTAGGATTTATTTTCTATTAGTATAAGCTGTCGGTTTGATGAAATTTACAAACTGACCTTGACAGACTCCCAGGGGCTAATGGGCGGGGCCAAATGTGGGTCAAATTGACTGAAATTTAAAAGATGTTCTACTTGTTCCGATTGGAAGATGTTATATAGGAAAATTCAAATCTCGAGTGAAATTTCATTTGATTCAATCTTGGTTGGAAGCTTAGCGTGGGACAGCAGTTAATGTATTTCGCAGGTATGTCGCCTCAATTGAAAGCTTCGCATGTAGAGAGACATCTTCAATCTTCTTGTTGTGATGTACTTGATGGGGAACTTAATTCCCCCTTACACCAGCTATGAGTCCCGGTTGTGCACACACTGTTATTACAATTGAAGAATAATTTGCACAAATTATAAAAATATTAAGTCATAATTTAGGAAAATGAATTTTAGGTCTTGATTAACATTAACTAACACGTAGTTGGTATTAAATGACATGTGGCGGAACAATCTCCAGACACCTTGACACTATATATTCTATCACAAGTTTAAAAGGATTAAAAGGTAAAAACAGGGAAGTTAATATGGTAATATGATAATGATTTGGGTCTTATATTTGTATTCCTAATATACTCACTTGGCCTCTGTTCATCTTGTTTCAAGTACAAAAAGTCAGGCTTCATTCAAACGGTCTTATATACAGTGTTACCTTAGTACTTGGCAGTAACAGTCAAGTGGCGGGGCAATCCCCAAACAGCTTGACAGTTACCCTAGGCAGTGAACTTATCGGGATGGTCCTTCCAGTGGGTGTTCAGCCTGGTTTTGAAGCTATTCACAGAGTTTGCTGTAATAACACTATCCGGCAAATTGTTCCACGAATTAATTACGTGGTTGGAGAATGTATTTTTGCAGGTATTGCGCCAAAACGGTCTTTTGTACAGTTTTTTCCTGTTCCCTCTCGTGGCTGTTTATCCTGGTCGTACAAACATACTTCCTGAATCTATTTGATCAATTTTATTAATCATTTTAAACAGTTGAATCAGGTCAGCACGTTTCCT